ACCAGTAGCTGTTCACTTGGTCTGTTATTCTGGAATTTAAACAATCAGACTTTAAAACCTGGCACGAGAGGCTACAGCAGTGTTTAAAATCAAAATGCTCCCTGAAATGATTGAAGATTATATCTGTTCTTCAGCACACCTGCACTGGGATGTTTTCACAAGTGTTTGTCTATAACACAGTGACAATATGAAGATCTACTCATAACTTTCCTGTTGATTTTTGTGTTAAATCTACCCATCCAGAGAGGAAAATGTCCTAGATCTTCTTCTCTTTTCCATACCAGTAGGAGACCTGACAGCTCTGAATAGGTTAGTGAAGGCTTTGCCTCGTAGCACAGTTGCCATTTGTTTCAATAGGAAGGAGTGGGAATGTCCCTCTTCCCTTACGTTGTTTGGAGCCATAGAAGAAAAGCTGATTTTAGTACCTGGAAAATTAATCACTGCTAAATTCAGTCCAGTGTAGAGCCAACAGTGCAGTGGAGAAAGGAAAGCCAGCAGGCTCTCCTGGTTTAGTGTGTGCCTCAGGGCAGCCCGGGATGATCCCGGAGCCAAAGGCATCGGGCACAGCATGCAGAGCTGCTGGGCTGCCTTGCTCATCAGCTTTGGGACCAGCCCAAAGAATCTATGGGGATTCTTCTTTGGATTTCAGCTTTCCTTATTTCCAAGAGTAATGTCAGGTGGGTGAAGTACAATGTGATTGTACTGAAGCATTTCCAGGGTAGAAGAGAGCAAATTGATGCATTTTAGTAAGGCCAGGATGAAGACCTGGCTGAAATGTTTTGCTGAAATGCTCCTTGCAGGCCACCACTCACACCTCAGGACTCCCTCCATCCTCCTCCCCTCCACTGGGTCCTCGCAGCCTCTGCAGGGCTCTTGTGCCTCTCTTCTCTCAGATCTGTCCTGAGGAGTCTCCGCATGGCCATGTCCCTCTGTGGAAGTGCAGTCAAACAGTTTGTACCACTTCACTTTCTTGTTTAACAGTGCCAGTGCTGCTCACCTGTGGCAAAAGGAGATGGGTTGTTTTTTTTCCCCTATGATGCCAATGTGGTGGTGTCCTCCAGATCCCATGAACTGTAGTTGTGTCCCAAGGCAGTCCTTTGAGACACCAGCAGAGTCACCGCTGGCCACCTGCTCACGAGGTTGCACCCTGCAAAGCCGGCCCCGGAGGCACCTGATGGAAAGCCTTTGCCACAGCTCTCACTCTTCCTGTGATCCAGCAGAGCCCAGATTTGATTTTCAGACTCTATCAAAGGCATCTATGGCTGTTCAGATCCTTAGGCTTGAGCCACGTTTCACCTGAAGACAGACAGGCAGGAGGGTTTTGGCCTATCCTGCTTTAAAAACCTTGGTTTCCATTGTGGCCGTCCTCAGGAACAGAACTGCTGACCACCATGGCAAATATATTTGGTTTTAAGTGTGTCCATAATTGCAGCGTTGCATCATCTCCACTGTTATTTTAGAAATTCTCTCTGCCACTCTGCATTATTAATAAGGTGTCTGTGGAATGGTCTAGAAGAATTGTCCCTGTGTCGATCTGGACTCCATCGCTCCCTCCGTGACCGGAGCAGAGCAATCCATGGCACTTTGGGACTTCTCTTCGTGCTCCTGGCACTGCTGTCACCAGCTGGCATGGGATTACATCCACAGGGTGTCGGGAGGGGACAATCTCTCTTTGGAAGGGCAAAGCAGATAAAATGACCCAGGAAATGGAGAGTGAGTGCTGGGCACTGGTTGGAGCTCACTGCCACCAGTGGGAAACTCAAGCCCACGAGCACAAATAGGCTCTAGGATGAAATCAAACGGTTGCTTACTGTACCTCTACAAATAAACTCCACAAATAAACTATCACTTCACTGGATGATAAATTGTATGTGAATTTTTAAAAATACACACATGCTACAGGTTAGAACAGGGAAATATTGTTTGATGCTTTCCTTCTAGAGAATTCCAAGTGTTTCAATAAGGTTAATATTCCTGTTGCCATTTTAAAGATAGGAAAAGAGAAACACAGAAGAGAGTGCCATGATCCCTATGCTACACAACAGCAGGGCCAGGAGGGGAATCGCTCTGAACAGCAATAAGAGAATTTAAATAATTGCAGTACATTTGCATAACATTCACAGAATAGATTAGCCAGCAAGAGTAAAAGCAAAGAAACCTGGAACTGAAGATGTGGCTTGGTGTGCCATCAAAGCTGCGGGCTGGGAAATAGATCACAAGACTCTCTGGTACCTAAGGGAGCTTATTTGTAAGGACTGACACACACAAACCCCATTTCCACAGGAGTTACTCGGGCTCATCCTCCCAGCCCCTGCTGGCTGCACCCGCCCCGCAGGGCTGTCACAGCACTGTCACCTGGAGCCATCTTCTCATCGCAGAGCAGCCCAGCAGTGCCACTCCAGAGGCAGAGGAAGCCTCACAGAGACAGAGGGATGAGCTCAGTGGGGCTCACTGACTATTGCAAGTGCAAGACAAAGGTGCCCTGCACTCTCCAGGCAGTAACTTCAGGGTGCCATTGCCTGAAAGGTACAGGCAGTCCTTAAATGACAGGGAAGGGATTGGTGTGCTCAGGGCTGTTGGAACAGTATTTTGGGACACACCTTGTCAAAGGCTAATTAAAAAAGCAACGAGGGTACATTATCATCACCAAATGGTAACCTGGGTTGTTCTGGTGCTCTGTCACCTTGAAATGCTTCCCACAGGGCTTCACGGTCCTTCATGTCCCACATCTCTCTTTCCTATTCAGGGTAAGGCCCTCAGGCCTGATCTCCTGTTTGTGGGTACCAAATTACTTATGGCTTTATGGCACGTAGGTTGCACCCTTTTTAACCAAAGCAAAGTATTATTTCTCTGGATGGTAGCCTGGAACACACCCTGGCAGAGATCCTTAGGAAAGAGCAAGAGATGCCTTTTCCCCATAGCCATAGAGTTTCTATACTTGCTGATAGGGAAGAAGCAGAAGAACAAGGAGACCACCTGAACAGGAACAGTTACATTAATATATTTCATGGTGTTTGAGAGCCTGAGTAGTTTTATCCTTGAGACCACAGGAATGTCTGTGCAAAAAAATAATTCCCCTCTGTGATTTTCACCAAAGTTTACTTTAAAATTAACATATATAACCTGTTTAAATTTGAGGGTTTTGTTATTCTTTAAATTATTTTTATGGAGTTTTGTAATTTGGATGCCATTCAACTCTTGACTGTGTTCTGAAACCAAGGAAGAATTTGCCCTATCCATCTTAGCCTTGTAATGGATAGATAGAACATATTAAGAGTTATCACCTCAAAGACAGATCAAAGTCTACTTCCTTTGATATTGACTTTCTTTAAAAGGACCTAAATATAACCTGCTAGCTAAATAATTCAATTTTCGGAGGGAGGGAAGGAACTGAGAGCATGTTTACACAACAGACCACAACAACTCTGCAATTTTCTAATTTCTGGGAGAAGAAAACTCCTCACATTTTCTGTTTAAGGAAATGTTACTCTTGGACTAGAAGAGGCCAAACCTGCCAGCCACCCAAATGGACTCTTCACTGACAGAAGTGGCAAACACTTTCCTGCATCGCTGACAGGAAGGGCTCAGCTCAAGGAACAGAAACAATGAGCTAATCTGAATAAATGCTCCATTTTCAGATGTTTCCCAGTGTTGTGCAGGGGCCTTTTACCTCGCCTACTTGAGCCACTCTGATTATCAAAGGTTTTGAAAGGCAGGGTTTCCAATCTGAGCCGAGTTCTTCTCTTCCGGCTCTTTCCTTACCTACCTAGGTTCTGGAGAACACCTACCAGTGTGCACTGCTGTGATAAAACACACACTCAGTGTTCTCAGGGGCTCCAGAGCAAAGGGACAAGGCTGCACCTCTGTGTTTCATGGGAGTGCCAGGAATGAGGGCCTGGGACAGACCCTGCCACGGGACTGAGCAGTGCCTGGGGCCAGCCCATCCACAGGGCTCCCCACAGCTGCTCAGGGCTTCCCTGGCCCCTGTTCTCTGTGCTGCCTGCTCTCCTCATGAAACATCCACGCTTTCTACCATGCTAAGCATTGCTTGATGGGCTTTCTGGGTTTTTGCAACTTCATTTTACATGGGGAAGAGACTGGAAACCACAGATCCTCCTGGACGTGGAATGCAGTGCTGTGAGTGATTAGCTTTCAGTGGTGGCTCTAAAAAAGACTAGCCTGTACTTGGAAAACACATTCCTTGGTCTTTGCATTTTAAGTGGAATCAAAGAAACGTTGGGTAAATTTCACTACAGTGTTTTGCAGATGGGGGCATGAGAGTTTTAATCTCAGCCCCATTTCTTCAGGCATTTACGTTAGTTATTATTAATGCTGCTTTAGTTCAGAATTTGCATATATTTTGTACAGCTGCAATAACTGAAGACATGGAAAATGGAAGTGGGATCTTCTGTCAGTGGATTGGACCAGCGTTTGTGAATGCCCTGACATCTCAAAGCAGAACACACCCACTCTTCCTCGTGCCACAGAGGCACAGCTGCTGTGGAAGAATTTTATGTGCTGGGAATTTCTCACAGCGAGCCTTATGGCTGTGCCTGGGTCCCACCTGGCACAAACATCAGGCCAGTATCCCTGGGGGTGCCTGCATCCCAGAAGTGCAGTTCCAGCTCTGCTCAGCATTCTGGCTCTCACCGCTGCCTTCAACAAGAGCCAGCCCCCTTTTTTCCCATCCCTAAGTACATGAATCAGGTCCTGTGCACACAATCGGGAAGCTTTTTGGAGAGGATTTCAGAGAGCAGGGCTGTGAAATAATGCGGTGGGAGCTGGCACACAGGGAGGTGAAGCACAGGCAGGTGTCCTGCCGGGGGGCAGCAGGTCAGCAGCGGCAGCACAGCGCCCAGGTGCACACACTCGCAGTGCCCATCCTGCCCGGCTGGCACGGGCTGGGAGCCGCCCATCCCCAAGCTCGGCAGCCGTGCCTGTGCCGCCCCCGGTGCCCCCGTGCCCTCGGGCGGGCCGGCAGCAGAGCCGAGAGCACGTACCCACTTTCAGCTCCTTGCCGAAGACCGTCCGCTCGCCCAGGGCCGAGCAGTTCCAGCGCCCGTTGCGGAACTGGAACTGGCACTCGTTGATGCCCATCTGGGACCCTTCCCCGATGACAATGATCGCGTCGGGCCTGCTCTGGCAGATCGCCCGCTGCCGGGGGGCGAGCCCCGGGATCTTGTTACAGATGATGCTGGCTCCGAGGGCCACCACAGAGGAGAAACCCCTGCAACGACAAGACACCGGCGGCGGCTGAGGGCAGGCTGGTCCCGGAGGCAGAGCAGCACCCGCCGCCTCTCCGTGCTGCGGCTCCGGTGCGGGCAGGTGCCCCGGAGAGCGCCCGCCTTTCCCGGGCCGCTGCCCTCTCCCCGTCCCTCTCTCCAAGCCGAGGCAGAGATCGGCAGCGCGTGGGCTCCTGCCAAAACAGGACCAAACTTCCTCCTTCAAGAATTAAAGCGCATGCAGCGGCATTGTCTGCCCGGGTCGCGCACAGGCAGAGGGCTGGGAGGGTTTTCCCAAACCTGCCGAGCAGTCAGAGGAGAGAGGGAGAGAGGGAAGGAAGGGAGGGGGACAACCCACGCTCCCTGGCCCGGGGCCGCTCCGCCTCCTCCCGCACCCAGCGCACCTGGCCGGGGATGCTGCTGGTCCGGAACGCCGCCGCCCTCCCTGCGCCCCTCCCGGGGCGGGCGGCGTTGTCTGCCCGGGCGGCAGCGGCCGAGGGATGTCCCTGCGGGAGGCGCGGGCACGTACCGGCCAGGGAGCGGCCGGGGCACCCCGCACCGGGCCGCCGGCCGGGCTGGGGAAGGGCAGGCTGCCCGGGGATCGCCCCGGTGTCCCTTCCCGGCAGGGACCGCCGCCCAGCCCCTCGCAGCTCCGCACATCGCCGGGGCCGCCGCCTTGCCCCGCTGGAGGGTCGCTCCGAGGTGCGCTTTACCTGTCTTTTGAGAAATACTCGTGATCTCCACCATAATCTTTTTTTTTTTTTTTTTTTTTTTTTGTTGGGGTTTTTTTTTTTTTTTTTTNTTGTGTCCCCCCCCTATTTTTTTTTTTTTTTTTTTTTTTTTTTTGGTTGGGGTTTTTTTTTTTTTTTTTTGAGACTTCTCGAGTTAAATAGTAACAGGTCTGGGCAGGTTGGGCTGAGCGCGAAAGAGAGCGCGATTGTTATAAAGGAAAGGAAAAAAAAGTTACTTACCCAATCTTGATATACACAATCCCCAGGCTCAGGAAGATGTGGAAGATCCAGCGCCTTGTTTTCCTGTTCATATTCCTTGCTTGCCGTGGCTCAGACCAACACGCGAAACGATGCCCGGCGCGCTGGGGGCCGGGGCCGCTCCGTCCCTGGCGGTCACGGCCGCCCGGCCGAGCGGGGCAGCCCCCGCCGCGCCCCGCAGCGCCCGCGGCTCCGCGCCGAGCCCCCGCCGCCTCTCAGCATGGCCCCGCCGGGGCTGCGCTCCGCCCGCGCTGCCGGCCCCGCTCCGGCCGCGGGCGCTGTCCGGGAGCGTGGGGCTGGACGGGCTGCGGGGTCCTGCGAGCGCCAGCCGCCTCCCCACCTTCGCTGTGAATTGGCTCTGTCTCTTCTTCACACAAACCCCCCCCCCCCCTTTTTTTTTTTTTTTTTCTCTCTCTTTCTCTCTTTTTCAGCTACTTGGGCGTGTTCTCCAGAGGAGGGAGTTGTCCAGCCGGGGGGGCAAAGCGAGGCGGGAAGGTGGGCAGGAGGGGAACAGGAGCGGCAGACGGATCACCTGCCTGCGGGCAGGCTCAGCGCGATCCTCCTCCTGCGGGCACGGCCCGGGGGAACGCGGCGGGGGCTCCGGGGGGTGTCACCGGGGGACGCCCCCGGGGCTGGCCCCGGCCCGCCGGGCGGCATTGGGGGCCCGCACCCCGCGCTGCTCCGCGCCGGCAGCGGGGCCGCAGCTTTGACTCTGCGCTCGCCGCCCGCTCGCCGGGGCTGCCGAGCACCTGGGGCCGGTTTTATGCGTTTGTCCCGACGCTCCTCCCCCCGGTCTGCCTCCCGCGTGTCGCGGGCTGTCCCGCAGCCTCCCGGTCCCCGCGCCGAGGTGAGCCCCGGGCGGCCGCAGCATCCCCGGAGCGCCGCCCTGCCCGCGCCGGGGGGCGAGGCGAGACCGGCAGGGGCGGGGGGGGGGGGGGGGGGGGCGAGAGGGAGCCCCGTGTGCCCGCAGTGACCTCCCCGCCGGTTTTTTGGCCGATGCTTCCAGGGACAGGGCAGGGCTCGGTCCCCGTGGCATTGGGCGCACGTCCGTGTCCGCGGTCCGAGCCCACGCTGGGGGCGGCCCGGGGGCTGCGGCCGCCCGGGAGCTCCGGGAGACGCGCGGCTGCCGCGGGCGGGGGCGCCGGCCCGGCCGGGAAGAGGATCCCGGCTCCTCGTTGCGGGAATTTACACGGATATAGTGACTATTTTATTATCCACTTAAAATATTTCAAACAGGGAGGTTACCTAAATGATAACAGGGGTGTGGTGCGGGAATTGTTCTGCTGATAATGTTTTTCTGATGACAGAAACACGATGACAGGATCCCTCAGCGTCCCTCAGAGGAGCCGGGCCAGAGCCCCCCGAGAAGCCAGGCTGGAGCCCCGCTGGCGGGGCAGCGGCCGCGGCCGCACGGACCCCCTGCTCTCCCGAACCACCCCAGGGCGGTCCAAGCGGGGCGCAGCCGGCCCTGGGGGGTGGGCCAGGTCCGTCCCTGCCGACTTCCCGGGGCAGGGAAGGGGTGTCCCAGTCCAGCTCTCCATCGCTCCGCGTTGCCTGGTACGGAGGATGATTCCCATCACCTTGGCGCCCCACAGCCTCTCCGTGCAGCCAGGCCGTGCTTCCCACTGCGCCCGGAGCCAGCGGGCGGCCCGGCCTCGGCGCGGGACGGAGCACGGAGCGAAATGCGGGGGTGCGGGGGGTGGGAGTGCAGCACTGCGGGATGCGGGGTGCAGGGTTCGGGGAGTGCAGGGTTCGGGAGGTGCAGGGTTTGGGGCGCAGGATTTCGGTTTGGGGCTCGGGTTCGGGGTTCGGTTCGGGTTTGGGGTTCGGGGTTCGGGCCCGGGGGAGCCCCGAGCCCCGCGGGCAGCGCCCGCCGCAACCTCTTTGTCAGAGCGGCACCTGGCGGGCACGGCCGGAACTGCAGGCGCGGACAGCGCAGCGGGGAGAGAGGGAAGGGGGAGAGGGAAAAGGGGGAGAGGGAAAAGCGGGCAGCAGCGGGCAGCCCTCAGCACCTGCAGGGCATTTGGGGCGGTGGGAGCAGCTGCCCCGAGGCTTTTGCAGCCTCCAATGTAATAAAGGCTCCCAGCTCCGGAGCACACCCAGCACCAGGGACAAGGGGATGGGCCGGAGCCCACAGGTGTGAGTAGAGGGCAGCAGGTATTGATGAGAACAAATTCAAGGCTTGAAGCAGGTGCTCTTTGGGTGGGAAAAAAAACCCAGCAGAGGGAAGTGCCATTACGAGGCAGCAGAAAGGCTGTGCTCCGCTCCCTCCGTCACCAGCAGGGAACACGCTGTTGGTGCTGACAGAGCCGTGCTGCACTCCAGTGCCACGAGCAGGGGCCAACAGGACAGGTGTGCCACAGCCAGAGGTTTGGGAATCTGGGAGAGCTGCCCTGCCCACGCACCGCAGCTTCTCCAGCAAACACATCCACAGTTTTTTATGTTTCATTTTTCTGATTTTTTTTTCTTTATTTCTGATGTGGAAGCTAGTGATAGTTAGTATAATTCAACCTCAGCTGTTTAACACAGCACACTGGCATGGGACAGGTCAAGGATGAGCAAACTGTTTTCTTAGGGTTCAGAAAAAGTGGAGAATGGCAAACTTCCCTGAGAAAATAACTTACTGGACTAATCAATGACTTTCTCTTCCTCTGTTCATTCCTAAAAAAGTCATGACCTAGATGCATTTGAAGAATACATAAAATAACATTCCTGTGCAGATTACAGGAGGTAGTTTGGCTTGTTTGGCAAAGTTTCTTGGGCTTTTTAATAATTCTTAAAATGCTGTAGACCTTAAATCATCCTTTCAACCACAATGTCTTTAGAGTGGTCTGTAGTAACTAATCCTTACCTACCATTACAGGGTCTGCATATCCAGCTTCCTTTTTTGCACTGTGTCTTCATATTTATTACTTCTAATAAATAGATTCTAATATCTGCATAATAAAATCAATATGAGGCATTGTGAAAACTGATTCCACTTCTCTTTAGAGTAATAAGTTACAGGCAAGTTGGTAAATTAACACAAAACTTAGAATAACAATTAGAGATTAATGACAGAACAGTAGGAATGAGGAAATTGCCTGTGGCAAGAGAAATTAACTCAAAACCATGCTCTTAAAAGGATTTAAGAGAAATCCCAGAGCTCGTGGCAGGAGGAGGTTTGGCTCTGCTGCTCCTCCCAGTGCCTAAAGGGGAAGGATGGAGGAGGCCTTTCCACAAGGGTTGGGGGTGACAGGGCAGGGGGGAATGGCATTAAGATGAAGGAGGCCAGCTTTAGATGGGATTTTGGAAGGAAATTCTTCCCTGGGTGGGTGGGCAGGCCCTGGCACAGGGTGCCCAGAGCAGCTGTGGCTGCCCCTGGATCCCTGGAAGTGCCCAAGGCCAGGCTGGACAGGGCTGGGAGCAGCCTGGGACAGTGGGAGGTGTCCCTGCCCATGGCCAGGGTTGGAACATGATCATTAAGGTCCCTTCCCACCCAAACCATTCCATGATTCCCTGGTGCCTGGCAGTTTCTGATCATGACCAGAGCCATGAAGCTCTCCTGCCTCTCCTGAGATGCTCAGTGCTGTGAGAAACACACCCCAAGCAGAGCAAATAGTTTTATTCCAGATACAATCTCTCTGCTCTCACCTTTTACTACCCATGTCTTTATTTAGCAGCAGCAACGTTCTCCTGAACAAAGCCTGGGCCCAAGCTGCACCCTGGAGCCATCCATCACTGGTTGCCACAATGGTGTTTCTATTGTTAATTGTTTGTCAGGGCAGCTTTTTGGGGTTAGACAGTGCACTGATTTAGTAGGGCCACTAATCAGCTCTGAAAATGTATTCTCAAAATAAATTAGATTAAAAAAAAAAAAAAAAAAGAAGCTTGAAAAGTCTATTCTATTGGTCTGGATACAATCCCTTGGGACTGCTGAGCTCCCTCATGAAGCCACAGCTGGGTCCAGGAGCTGCAGAGGCTCAGTGCTGCTCTGCTCCCATGGAGCTGGCTGAGGAGATCTGCACAGCACACACTGCTCTGTACGTGCTTCTGGTCAGGACTATTAATGACCCATTTTTCATAAGCATAAAGAAATACAAGAAACATGCCCATCTAAAATGAAAAAGAAAGGTTGCCTGTCTTTTTTGTTTCTTTTTTTCTTTTTTTCTTTTTTTCTTTTAAGATGGCCTCTGATAACAGGAATTCGCAAGGGAAAATGTGGTTAAAAGCCCATTTTGTAACTAGATCCTAGATGCACATACCATCAATACTCCAACTCTGGCTCCCTTTTATCAGGCTAATCATAGCTGCACTGTTTTGTTGTCAAAACATCTCCTGTAGAAGTCAGACCAGAGAGTCCTTTCAGTAGCAAAAATGTGATGTTAATATACCAACCCTCCCTGTATTAAGAATCTCCTGCCTCCTAAAAGCACGTTGAAAAAAAAAAAAAAAGATACAATAAATAAATAAAGAACATTAACAAAGCCAGGTAATTTCCTGGGCTCCTCTTGGTCCTGAGAGGGCAGCTGTGACCCCCACCCCACCCCGGGGAACTGCGGGTGGACCCCCGAGCCAAGCACAGGGACACCCCCACGGTTACTGCAGCCGGGAAGCAGGAGGAGTTTGGGCAAGCACGGGTACCTGTCACCTAATTACCTGCAGCTTCATCTAATTAGCAACTGATGTGCTCAGAGGTCTGTGGGGGCCTGATGGGGAGGGGGATGGATGATCAGAAGCCAGTAGAAGATTTGGGATGAGGAAAGAGGCGCTCTGATTGGAGCATTTGGGGTTTACTGGCTGTTCAGTGGTGTGGGAGATGCAGCTGGTTTGTGCTGCAGGGCTGTCCGGCACCAGGCAGTTCTCCTCGGCCACAGCTTCCAACACATCTTGTGGCTTTTGGAGTTGGACATGGCCTCAGAAGCTCCTGAGAACACAGTCTGTGAGTCCAGGGTTTTCCTGGGTTTCAGTTTGCTCTGACTTTTTAATCCAAGTACAAATAAAGGGATACTTTACATCCAAACCAAAGTAATGAAACAGCTTGTGAAACTGCTCCAAGCCTGAGCTCCATCCAGCCTGGTTTCTCAGGTAGGATCACAGGGTTCTGTCTGATAGCTGAGGATGTCTATATGAAGCCA